CTATTAGTTAAGTTCTCCCCAAGCGAGCTCGATGGGCCGAATGGCCTCCTCTCGTTTGTATAGTTCTTATGTTCTTATGTTCTTATGAGAGTTTTGGAGGTGTGTTTAATTCTTAATAAACTTTTAGCAAAACCTCCATCATGTTCTTTTACGCCTTGTGTCACATAGACCTATTTGCTGTAGTTACAGATCTGACAATTTTTAGTTTCAAAGTGATGAGTGATAGTAAGTGTAATAATATTTGATATTCAAGGATGTAGTAGATGTACAATATCAGTCGTTGTCTTCAGGGAGTTGTTTATATATTGTGAATATATTTGTTGTATTTGGAAGTTTAGCTTCTAAATTATGAAGCATAAAAATGAGGGATATGAGAAACTATACCCAGTACAGGGGCATCTCAGTGTTTCCTGCGATTATCATTCGCCTCTGAAACCCAGGCTGAGGTTTGCTGTGCTGTTTCATATCAAGTCAGCAGGTAATATTTTTAGCATGAGAGGTACAATTTGGTTCTGAGATCCTCTGGGGGAAAAAAAGAAAAAAAAACTACTGCTTCACACACTCTGTCAGATACTTAGAGACACAGAAAAATCCACTGAGAGAAAACCCCACTGTGCTGGGGAATATCGCTGTTACAGTACAGGCGGAAATGACCTGTCATCCTGCAGACGCGCTTGGCTCACTCAGACCCTGTGAATCCTCACTGCCATATCCACAGTCCACTATTCGCTGGCCTGTATCACATTAGCCCACCTTTAAAGCGCTGATCACACAGTGAACCTGAAATGCTGTATACTACTTGTCTGTGTTTCATTGTTCTTTTCACACAGCAGGAGAGGGGAAATTCAAACCAACTGCTTCCCACATCACTTGTGTCAGAGCAGCCGCTCCAGGAAATCTGTTTTGTTTCATTTGATTTAAAATTATTGTCAGATTTGTGTTTCTTTGGCCTTCAGGATAGCGAGCGGGATCTGCTGAGCATGGAGGGGGCCCTGTGTTCCCTGTCTCCCAGTGACCCTGCAGCCTCCACTCACCTTTCACTGTCCAGCCAGCACCACCTGCATCTTCTCCAGCACCAGCTCCTCCAGCAGCAAACTCAGACGCATGTGGCCCTTGCCCAGGTAGATGAAAAAAATAAACTGGCTGAAGGTCCGCATGAATCACATGGTGCCTGTGAAGGCATGGCTTGGTGGAGCTGAAACGAGTCTTACTGTTTTCGGTCTTTTCATGTCTGCACATTCCGTAAGTGTAGAAATGGTATGTATGAGCTAATAATCTAATAAATGATTATGGCACTGAATGTGACCTTGTGCGGTACGCTTGGATTAGTTGGATAATAGCCATTTAACTTGCCTGTCTTCTGTAAATTTGGTATACAACGGTTCTAAAAAGTAATAACTTGTGGCCTTTGAATGTGACTTTCACATGACAAAAACTATATAAATCTTGCATATTAAAGTTTGATCATTTTAGAGATTTCAAAACTATTATTATTATTATTAGTAGTAGTATTAGTAGTTTTTTGGGGTGGCACAGTGGTGAGCACTCACACCTCTGGGACTAGGGTTCGAGTCTCCGCCCTGATTCCGCATGTGTGAGTTTGCATGTTCTCTCTGTGTGATTGTGGTGTTTCCTCTGGTTCCTCCCGCAGTCCAAAAACATGCTGAGGCTGATTGAAGTAGCCAAAGTGCGTGTGTGTATGCATGTGTACGCATGTGCCTTGAGATGGATTGTTGTCCTGTCCTGGGTTATTTCCTATCTTGTGCCTGTCGATTCCAGGATAAGCTCTGCACCCTCATGACCCTGGATAGGTGGTTATTATCAACGTTATATTGTTTTAAAAGCTTTTTGTTCTGGCACTGTTTAAGTAATTCCACATGTCTTAAATCAACACGCAAAATTAGCTGGACCAGTTCCATGCTGCAGTAGACAAATGAGAGACTGAGTGATATTAGCCAGGTCAATCTACTGTGTGAGGCTGGCAGTCACCTGATGTACGTCCAAAAATGACACACGTTCAGCTGTTTGTGAGGATTCAGACAGTGACTACTGACTGCCAATAGAGGGAGCACTTACCTCAAAGGGTGCCATTGGAAAAAGCTGGATAAGCTGGGGAAAACATGACCATTTCTCCTGTGAGATTCAGACATGCTATTCTCCAGACAGTGTTTGTAATTGTATTCTTATAATGGTCAAATGTTTTAGTGAGTGACTCCTCAGGTTGTTTGTGTTATGGCTAGATGTACAAAAGGTCACTACCCTTTGTTCTATTGTGCCCAATAACATCTAGGATGACAAAAGTGTGTATTTCATTTTGTATAACAACAATAGGGACATTCTGATGTGGCTGTCACACAGAGCCAATCCGGAGCCTGTCAGGAGAATGTCCCGCACAGCACACTCAGTTGCACACTAATACAGCCGCTGATTGGCTCTCACAGCACACTCACATGCACAGTAATACAGCTGATGATTGGCTCCCACAGCACACTCACTTGCATGCTAATACAGCCACTGATTGGCTCTCACAGCACACTCACATGCACAGTAATACAGCCGATGATTGGCTCCCACAGCACACTCACTTGCATGCTAATACAGCCGCTGATTGGCTCTCACAGCACACTCACATGCACAGTAATACAGCTGATGATTGGCTCCCACAGCACGCTCACATGCACGCTAATACAGCCAGTGATTGGCTCCCACAGCTCGCCTCTGTCACCTCCCCAGGTGCATCTCCTCCAAGGACAGCTGGCTGCTGAGGCTGCTGCCCGGCTGGAGTCTGAAAGCCAGATACAGCAGCTCCAGCTCCATAACAGGGAGCTGCTCCAGCATGTGACACTGTTGGTCAAGCAGCTCAGAGACCTGGAACGCAGAGTCCCCGATACCATCCAGGGTGAGTCCCGCCGTCATTGGGCTCTCACCTGAGGCTGCTGGCTTGCTGGTGTTTGGGCCGTTAGCGTGACTGTGCCTTGGGCTGTCTGTCATCAGATGGAGGGATCTCCAGATGGGGGTCTGCAGGGTCTCTCATCCTAAGAAACCACGGCCTAGAGAACTATGAGGCCGTCCCCTCCACCGGCCTGGTGGAGGACCCCACAAGCCCCTCAGCACCAGCGGCCCTGGCAGAGTCCTACCTCAGTCTGCTCAGTCTGGAGAACAAGGCCCAGACAGTGGCCAGGAGAGCAGATACCGACCCGGTGGGTTTGGGGGGCAGGCAGGACACAGATACCCCTGGTGCTGCAGGAAATGAGACGGTCCGGATGAACTCCCGCACCATTAGAAGAGTGACTGAATGGTAAGGGACTCTGCATGCTGTTTGCGAGGTCTCCTATAAACACTGTCACAGCTGACCATGGCAGAATGAAGAGAGAAACAACAGCTGTTCTTATGTCAAACTTCTGTATTTAAATTACAACTTTTATGAGAACTTTATGTGGGGACCCACAAACTAGGCATTTTTGGTGTAACATCAGCTTACTTTCTGGCTGAGCTTTGCTAGGGAATTAGAAACCAGGGATCCAGCAGTATTGGTTTCCTCATCAACCTTAGATGAAAGACAGGAAGGCAGGGTGTCTTCTGGTCTTTCTTCCCTCATCTTTCTCCCTCCCACCACTCACTCATCGCTCATGGTCCTAGAGGCCAATCTTACTCTCTGTGACGCAGCATGTCGGTTTCTCTGTACACTTAGTTGTTAGTCTTGTTACTGTTGTTTGTGTACTGGAGCAGCATGCTCTTCGCGGTGGTGTATGGCTCAGCTGGCTAAGGCTTTGTGTCTGTAATCAGAAGGGTGCTGATTCAAGCCTGCCCTTGGGCGTGTCTGTAGACCCTTCCACAAGGCCCTTCGTGGGCCATTTCACTCCAAAACAGATAAAAGATAATGGTTTAGAGGGGATGGATAGATAGCACTAAAGCCACCCTAACACATATCTTTTTTCAGTTTTGGAGTGACCTGCCCCTTTAACCCCCAGCTCCCCAGGTACTGGGTGGTGACTGCCCTTTTGCTGTGACCCCCCCCCCCCCCCCAAGCTTGTTCTCACCTGTATGGATAGCAAGATGGGGCAAAAAGAATTTCCCCCTGGTGATTAATAAAGTATCACTATTCCCTTCCCATTACAGCTGAAATGAACTGAGCCCCAAACATTATGTATAATGAAACGGAAGTGAAAACATAGCAGTCTAGGTTTTCATTGCCTCAGAAACGAGTGGGGCGGACCTAATATGTGTTCAATCCAGCATTGAAATTCCTGTACAGTGGAGGGGCGGGCCAGTGTGTCCTATGGTTCTACCTTTGCAGAGTGTCCTGTACTCGTACCGTAAGGAGTATGGAGGATGAACAGGTTCACTAACTGATCCCAGCTGTGTCCTCTGAGCAGAACCCATGAAATCAAGCCACATCCAGCCTCCCACTCCCACAGGACGGTTTGCGTTTCCATGTCCACAGGATCCGAAGGCGTGTGGCGCCACAGCTGTCCACAGCACTCACGCCTCTCTCTGGCCCAAGGTGCTCGTTATCTGCTCATGTGTTAAAGGGTCGCCCCAAGGTAACTGGACCTGCTCCAGCCAGCTCATGGGCTCAGGCAGTAAATCTGCCAAAAGTAGACTGAACTGGGGAGCTGCCTTCTATCTTAAAAATAAACAGCCAGATTTAAGGCGGGGTCCCACCCACTGCCTCCTGGTTGGCCCAGGTCTTAGTCACAGCTGCCAAAGTAACCAACCAGATGTCTGATGCGGATCAGAACGTTGATGAAGCAGACTGAGCTCCCAGGCTCTCCTCTTCCTTCCAGGTGATACAGGGAAAGCTGGCTTCACTGCACAAAAATCAGTTTTCCTAGTAATACATTCTTATTTCTTTGTACATTTCATCCCAGAGCGCAATTTGTCTCCCCTAATTTCCATCTATGTGACTACAAACAAATATAGTCATTTTTTGCCAGATCACATAAGAGTGCAGCATACAGTATAACAGAATTGCGGTGATTCATAGGATTAAACCCACGACCTTCTGGGCACAGATTTTAGAGTCTTAAATGTTGCCCTGTAGTATTTGTACTTTAAAGTTGGGCCTACTTATTCTGTCATAGAAAGAAATGTGTTGAATCATCGCACATGTACTCCAGTATAAGAATATATTTCTGGACTAATGCTTATTTAAATTCCCTCCATAAAACAACACTTTTTCAGTGCAGATGTGACATCATGCTACAGCAAAATAATATTCTCCAATAGAAATGCCAGTATGTAACTTACTGGTCATGGTTGCACATCTACTTATCATAAGAAAAGAATTTTACTGTAAACAGATATCCATCCAACCATCCATTTTTCATTGCTTATCCTGGACAGTTTTTTTTTGGGTGGGGGGGGTGTCCATTGTGACCCTATGCTGAATAGGCAACTATGGAAGATTGATAAATGGATGGATGAATCTTTGTGGAGGTCAGTTATGCAATCTGACATGCATGCATTGGGGTGGCTTTCATCCAAAAGGAGGCATTTGTTCCAGCCTTAGCATGGAGGACAGACCGAATGTTAGTTAATCTCTGGCAGGACAAGGCAGGAGCAGAGCCGTGGAGGACATACTGATAGGAGGAACAGCCAAGAGCCCATACGTCCCCCAAGCTGGCCACAGGATCCATCATTCCGCCTTTTTGTTTGTCTTCTGAAGGTTGTGGCCATATATCTTGCTAGTTCCACAGTGAGCTGAGAGGGTTAGTCTAATTTGCCTTTCTAAATTGGTGTAATCTGTTTGTGTATGTATGTTTATAGTCATTCACTTTAATCGTTAAGGTCATCACAGTTGTTTTGGCAATAAGTTAACTAGAGTCGTTTTGACAATTTGATTTCTTGGCAAGATAACAGTGGATTCATTTGGTACAATATGATCTTTGGGACACCACACTACGAAAGCCATTAAGAATGCCACCCTGAAAACCAGTAATCAAGAAAAGGGGCTTTGGAGAGTCTTTGGAATCTCATGATCAGGAGTGCTGTGTTTTTTTGTGTGCTCTTTCATATTTGCTGGCAGGCTTTGTGGCACATGCTCAACTGGGAGACATGTGCAAGCGTCATTGTCTGTCTTAAGATTGTTATTTTTAAGTGTGATTTGGGGTAGATTTTTTGAATTATGATTCTGGAAAAAATTGGAGAGTTCTTAGGATGGGATGTCCTGTGATATTTAGGGAACAATGACTTTTTAAAATTTCTTGAACTGCAGAAAGAACTAAATCAGCTTGGCAGTGAAAGATGCAGAACACAGCAGGGACACTCAGATCTGCTGTGGGATTTCAAATGTCTGAACTTGGATTTAAAAATCTGGCTAAAATCTGAGAAAATGAACAGGCTTTCCACCATTGTCCTCTAAAGTATTTTGTTTTCATATTCTGTTACATTTTAAAAATTTGATTTGTCTTGCAAAAAAAATCTTAATTTGTGCCATTTGAAGAAAAAATGTTTTTCTCAGATAATGTGTTTGTCAGTGATCCTTATGATAAAAAGCTGTTATAGCAGAAGTAAATGATGCAGACAAACAATGGAAATGATGTGTTTTGACAGTATCATATTTGAGTTATTGATTCCTTTTTTCTTCCAACCCATTTCCAACCATTTTCAACTATTTCTAAAAGAGGGCTGTCCAGTGGGTTAAAATTTTGTGTATATCCACAAAAACTCATTCCATTGTTCTACTTATATTGAAAAAAGCTGTTTATTAACATTCACAAAGGCACACATATGCAATCATTCCTAGTTTACGATTGTTATACATCCCACCAATTATCCAGTACAGCGTCACACAGAGCCTGGAGTCTATCCCAGGATCCACTGGGCACAATTTAGAGGAGACCCTGGACCTGAAGAGCCACACAACCAGTTACCAACATTTTAGTTTCTGTTATGTTTACTAATGATCCCATCACGCTCCTTCTATGTTTCAGAATGCGAGTCAGGTAAACTGGTGACCCTGCATCAGAAGGTCCAGAAAGTAAAAATCCAGGCCAAGATTTTGTTTCAACCAACCAGTTGAGTACTCTGTTACTGTTACTCTTTATACTCAATTAGTTGGTTGAAACAAAGTCTTGGCCTGGATTTTTACTTTCTGGACCTAAGATGTCCACCTCTGCCCTGTGCAGGATGGTGTGAGTATGTGCAGGTTTAGGTACGGCCCCTAAGGGAGCCTTGTACATTACCTTGTGCTTTGAATTTCCTATTGCAGCCTTTTGACAGCTGCAAACCTATAGGGATAAGCAAAACTGTGCATACATATATGCATGTGTGTTTATACCAATGTGCTGTAGGCAGGGGAGTTTCCAGCTATCAGAAAGTTCAGGGGTTAAGTCACGTTTTTCTGGGACTTGACTTTGTTTTTGAAGGAAGATTGGCATTGGAGCTAAAATATTGGGGGCTCGACTTAAAATACTTGGGGCTATAGCCCTAGTGATCGGACCTAATGGCACCCATGGCTTTAGGTATAAGCATAAATAATAAAAAATTAGTTTTTCAAATAATGTATTAGACATATATGCAATGGAGTGATATAAAAATGTTCTTGAAGAGGTATGTTTCTGAAAATGCTTGTTTGCAGTACATCCTGTAGCTGTGCTGGTTCACGGGTAGCTCTGGAGATGTGGAAGACCTGAAAACCTCAAGGACGACCCAGCAACATTGGTGCTGACATATCCACTATAAATCTAAGTTAATGATATGTCAGTGCTGTTTCTCTGATTTTTTTTTTTAGGTTTCACCACACTGTCCCTAAGCTGAATCCTCCTCCTCCCATCATGAACCGCAAGCGGGCAAGCAAATTAAACTTTTTGGGCCGAGCAAAATCTACTTCCAAGACTGTAGCCATCGAAATGGAGGAGAGGGTGCACCTGCAGGACATGAAGCCCTGTGATGCGTCCTCCCTCGGAAACAGTGAGAGCGAATCCTGCTCAACCAGCGAGGATTCTGGGGTGGTGAGGAGCGAGAAGTGCCCCCACTCGCCCCAACATGTGGGGCCCTTTGAGAACCAGGGGCCGTCCCTGTCTGCCGCCAGCAGCTGCAGCGGCCGGCTGGAAGACCCTGGTGCATTTAGGAGTGCCTCAGTCCCCCTTCTTCCCCCAAGTTCTGTCGTCACCCCTGGAGGCCCTGCAAGCCCATCGTCACTCTATTCCTTGGCTCACAAGACCTGTCTCCACATCAGCTTGTCAGAGGATGAGCTGATGCATGCCAAGGCACTGGATTTCAGCATCAGTAGCCGGAAGTAGCCGCCATGGAGAGATCTGATCCAGGATTCTTTTACACTCACTAACCAGAAGTCCTACACTGTATGGGAGACTCAGGCGCTAGTACAAGACTCCTTATACAATCCATTTTTATAAACTGACTTTTATATCTAAAGCCCTTAATATGATGTACATTCATGAAGTTAATGTATAGTGTAAGATAAGATTAATATGCAGTTCTTGCCAATGCTGCCCAGAAATGTTTGGACTTTATCCTGTACAGCAGTCATTCACAGCATTTCTTGGGCAGTATGTGGCCATGAAGGCCTAATTGCAAAGCGGATATCATTATTGTTATCAAAAAAAAACAAGCAGCACCCTATATAAGCAATGTCCTCCATAACAAATGCTTTGAATTAAAACAATTTGTAGCTAGCTTTCAATAACACGTTGCCCTAGGAAACACATGGGCCTCTGACAGATGCATCGATGCTGACAGGCAATCTGTTATGGTGCCAGTTACATGAGGTTATTGCTTAATTCGTATGGATGGATGGTTGTTAATTTAATATTTGAGGAATAGTAGTGGTCAGAAAGTTGAGGCAAAGCTGCATCTTGGGGAGGATAAAAGAATAAGGAAAGTAAGGTCAGAGAAGGTAGTGAGAGTATGGGGGGAGAGAGAAGATTATGGTCTTTCAGAGAGAGAAGGTAAGTTAAACTTCAGGTTAGTCCTATGGTGAGATTAAGAATTCAAGGTAAGGAAACAAAGTAGCAGTTTTGCTGGTGAGTTGCTCAGCAGCTGCACCTCTGTACCTCTGATCAGAAGGCTGCTGAATCAAGTCTCGGCAGAATAGTCACATGTCTTTGGGCCCTTAAGCAAGGCCTTCAATCTCCAGCTCCCTGGGTGCCGCCTGCTGGCTGCCCCCTTTCCCTGTGACCCCCAAACTTGCTCTCACCTGTACGGAGAGCAAGGTGAGGCAAAAGAGAATTTCCCCGCTGGGATTAATAAAGTATCACTTTTCTAATCCCTGTATTAATTTGGATTTAGTCTGAAATTGTTTGCACTGTAAATAATGATAGCATCAATAGTTCAATTGTACAGTATGTGTTAAACTAATATGAAGTATAATTATAGTATGAAGACAAGCCATGTTGGCAAGGCAGAACAGATTTAAACGATGTCATCTAGTGATATAAGGAGAACTGGGAAAATTAAAGAGATGAAAAAATCATAATCACCAATCTGTGAAGAAGAGTCTGGGTTTACGATTGATATTTTTCCCTGGCATCATCATAAATGGGTTCAGTAAAGTGGCTCCTTGATTGAAGAGATAATTGAAGGGAAAATGGTTTGTGGAAAAAAATATAAACTGACAATTATTTCTCTCCTTGAATAGCACTATCTTCATTCCAACCTAATTTCACAAAATTGCTTCTTGTCGCAGGAGATTACAGTGAGAATATAATAGCACTGCTAGGAGAAAGGCTGTGTTTATAATGAATTTGACAAGCATACGATGTGTTCCCTGTAAACACTACTGAATTCCAGTCTCCCTGTGGAACTTCCCTCCAAATCGATTCCCAGCAGAACCAAGCGGCTGCAGACTGAGACATTGAAAGGTACTAAATAGATCCATGTGAGACAGTGTTGATGGCAGGAATTCAGTCTTGAATGTTAGTTTCAGTTGCATTTGTGCTTGCATGGGATACAGGTGCATTGAAGGTGGCAGGTGGGGGCAGGACTTATAGAGGTATTCATGTGACTGTTATTTGAAAGTAGCAGGGCAGATTCACTGGCCATGTGAAATGTGTCAGCAATAAAAAAAAATACATAGCAATAAAATGTGTGTCAGTCAAATGCTCATTTTCTTTTCCTGACCTGAACCCCTTGACCATTATTTTCAGCATGTCCAGAAGAACCAAAACCCAGCTGGGGGGGTGGGGGGGCTTGTAATTCACAGAAGCACGGCAAGGAGCTGTTGGAGCTGGATGTTTATCACTTTTCTGGGGGGGTGTCATTGATGTGATGAACTGTGAAGCGTTGGACCTGTGCTGCCCCTTTCAGGAGCATTTATGCTTCATGGAAACAAAGACTCTGTGTGACTCAGCTACAGACATCGAAGCAACCCTAAGACTGACCCAGTAAGGGACAAAGACGCAGCCGGTTTCATTCTCTCTGCATCACCTGTTCTGGGACTGTGTGTGTGTGTGTGGTGGGGGGCGGGGGATGGGGGGCAGCGTCAGGAATGGCCTCATTCACTGCTGCCTTGTGACTGATTGTAAGAAGGCAGGGAAGGCCAGAGAATGTTCCCTTTATTGTCCCTGTCTCATCCTGCTGCCCCATGAAATAAAAATGAAATACTCCATTGCAGACACGGCATGCATATTAGTTTTATTTCCATTTTTATTGAAGTCCATTAAATAAATATGAAAGATTGCCCATTACCCTTTCCTATATGCACTCATGAATCAAAACTTTAAGGTAAACTGGATATCTCTGCTACATACTTTTTATAATTTTGGACTGTGCTGAGAAGACACGTTTAAAAAGGAGTAAGATGTGCGGTCTGGCTTGGAATCGAAGTGCTGTGATTACATGTGTAAAATTGTATCAGATTCTAAAGCTCTGAGAGTATCAAAGACTCTGCTGATTGAGCTCTGAAGCCGTTGATCACGTTGCCCTGCTGCCATGTGACAGGGGGCAGCCAGGCCTGGGGGGTTCTATGTGGGCCAGCATCCTGGAGAGCGTGACCCGGCCCCTCAGTCAAGCCACTCCATTAGAAGGAAGCGGGCAAATGTGCTGCAGTCGCTGACTGGCAGTGACCTCAGTGATTATTCAGAAATGGCACTAATTAAAGCCCACGTCCTCTCAGCAAGATAGAACAAACAGCTCAGACCATCCACTTCACTTCTGGGAAGGAGGGTTTAGTGAGTGTTCTTCTGTGAGCTAGGCTGATACTCTTTTTCGTTGTTGTTTTCTTCAACTGGATCTTGTGTTCATTCCAGCTTTTGCCTGTTTTTACTTATCTATGATTAACACCAACCTTTAGTAGTTCCTGACTGCCAACAATTGTGACGGACAGGCATCCCATACAGGGTGTACCCCAGATTTGTGTCCTGTGCTGCATAGGATAGGTTCTAGACATCCTATGACCCTGGAAAGGATAATGGGATAGAAGATGGATGGATGGATGGATGGCCACTCAAATGTGCACAAGAACAAACTGTGCAGTTTCTCCCTATGTGTGGAGTCAACCATAAATCAGAATATCTCCTGCCACAATAAAGGATAGCTCTCATCTGCATGAGAAAACACTGGGTGCCTTCATGTAACTGCTGCTATCATTATTTTAGCAAGGTCTGCATTAAGGGAAATCAGCGCTATATAAAAAGATATTGCACATTCAGGTGAACACCCCCAAGATTCCAATTCCCAATAAATGGGTGCTGGGAAAATGTGTTTTCCCGATCCAAAGAGAACTTTCATATTCCACTAATTTAACATGTTTGTTCTTGGATTAATATGGGGATTTGTGATAGGAATCCATGTCTGCTGAATGGATTATGATTTCAATAAACACGAGTTGAAAACAACATGAAATGAATAAGCTAGCCATGTTACTTTAGCTCAATTACTGTTCACCCATCCATCCATCCATACATTTTCTGCAACAGCTTATCCTATTAACTCAATCACTGGAAAATTCATGTTGTTCTCAAACCACTTTCCACACTTTCACTCCATTTCAACACTATTTAATTTTATGTCTGGGAGCTTACTTTCCTACTGTTAATTTCACACATATTCCTATTATTTATAATTGTTAATATTGTTATATAGGCTGGGAAAACTAGAATTGTGTAAATTAAGGAAAACATTGTACTTACTAGTATCTGGATATGTATATTAAAACGTCTTCTATAAATGTATCTATTTCAAATGAATCAAGAGGTTTCTGGTTTAAAAGCATAAAAAACTGAAAGTAACGTGTCAGTAAAACTGTATGGAGAAACAGAGTGGAAAGTGTTTTCCGAAGGTCTATGCCAGAGAATCCCTGACGTGGATCAGCAGGCCACCGCATCGTTCTGCTCGAGCTGCTGTGGTCCCGGTGCGGCACACAGCCTGCCTCGTCACACTTGGACGTGTCACTTCTGTGATAAGCTCTAATTGAATATAATTGAATTTATTAGCATGATCTCATGCTGGGGAGGGAGTTGTGAGCTGTGCAAAATATTCATTTAATTCAGGCAGTGACGCCAATAGCTCCTGTAACAAAGAAGTTCATTTAGACAATTTAGTTCATTTCTAACTGCGCTTTTTTAGCTTTGTTGATTTTGGTGAAATCCAAAATCAACAATTCCACATGAGTCTGTGTTTGCTCTAGTATCCATGTTAATTTGAAAAGTTTGCAAAAACATGCTCTATATTTATATTTAAACATATTTACATCATATTTATGCAAATACTCCAGTACCATACTGCACTCCAAAGTACCCCCTCATCCTTTTTAATCTTACTTCATACATGAGAACTCTACTGTCTCCCCCAAAGTAATCAGTAAGTCTGTTTCCTCATTCTTGACTCAAATTCCACAGTCCATATTCAGTGCGCTGGATTTTTTTTTTTTGGCCTTTACAGAAATGTTTCCATGCATCACAGGAAGCCATAAAGCTGAGTGACAGAAACCACAGATGTGAACGACCTGAACTAGATGACTTGTTCCTGTGATTCGTGGTATTTTTATTTTTTATTTTTTCCTAATGATCCCACACCTTTACCTGCAGATTTCTAGGTTAGTGTTACATTATAGATTAGTACTAGTTCATCTAGATAGCTGCCAGCACTGAAAGAGTTTCTTCTATCCTGTTTTACTGGTGTAACCAAAATGGGAGTTTGGGAAGGGCTAACAAAGACCATTCTAGGGTAAACATAATTTGCCATGGGTGATGGTCCATTTACTTAAATATCATTGTTGTACCAGTTTTCCTCGTCAAAGGGGCTATTTTCAGTTAAATGTGATGTGGTTAGGGGAAGCTTAATGTACCTTTACTGATGCATTTAAAATGATTGCATGCTTGTATTATCAGCTTCACAGAACAGTTTTGCATGCATGACAGATGTCAGATTTTGAAATTTGAGAATTATCAGCCCACAGTTATTAACGTAATGGGCTTATGTTCCCCATTTGAAGCTTACCAAACAATACACATGATGTGTATTATATATTATTATGTGTCGTTGTTTTATCCATCGTGTTTGTGACGCAGGGGCATCATATTAATAAAGGTTAGTCTAGCATCCTTTATTCATATTCTGTTTTCCTTATAATGCATGAATACAGGTAAGGAAAACAATTATAATATTATATTATCCATTCCCTTCAATTTTCTTTAAACCACCCTGTATTATGTAAATATATTTTATCCAGTGAGCTACAATATGTATGCACTTTCACATTATGGAACATTTAAACAAAATTAGAAAGAAAGTTTTGGGAACACTTTACTTAAGGCCATGTTTTACTCATTTATAAACACATTCATAATGCATTATAAACATAGCTATACATATTTATCAAAAGAGATAACACATTACAGCCATTTGTATCATGTATCATGACTGTCTTATGAATCTCTTATCTATAATGCACTATAGATACCTTTATAATGCAGTACAAAGCATCCTTAATGCTTATACTAACAGTATAAGCTATACTTCTCTGTAGCAAGCTGGGGTGGCAGCATGAAAGTGGCAGAGGCTAAGAGGCTGAACAAACTTATTAGGAAAGCGGCTTCTGTAGTGGGTGAGGAACTTGACAGCTTGGAAATGGTGGCTGAACGGAGGATATTGTTCCGACTTCAGTCTATCATGGACAATGCTGATCACCCGCTCCACAATGTTTGTGGCTGATCAGAGAAGCACTTTTAGCTACAGGCTGACTAGCTTTAAGTGCTCCACTGAACGTCTTTCCTACCTACGGCCATCAGACTATATAACTCGTTAAAATGATCTCACACCCAGCCT